AAGAAAACAAAAATCCTCACCACTGGACCAATAAACAACATTCTTATCAACGGAGAAAAGATTGAAGTTGTCAAGGACTTCATTCTTCTTGGATCAACTAGCAACACTCACGGAAGCAGCAGTCAAGAAATCAATGAATTACATTAGGCGAATCTGCTGTACAAGACCTTTTAAAAGTGTTGAAGAGCAAAGATGTCAGCTTGAGGACTAAGGTACGCTTGATCCAAGCCATGATATTTTCAGTAACCTCATGTGCATGCGAAAGCTGGAAAGTGAATAAGGAAGACCGTAGAAGAATTGATGGCTCTGAGTTATGGTGTTGGAGGAGAATATTGAAAGTGCCGTGGGCTGCCAAAAGAACAATAGATCCATTTTGGTAGAAGTGCAGCCAGAATGCTCCTTAGAGGCCAAGATGGCCAAACTTCATCTCTCATACTTCGGACATATTTTCAGGAGGGACCAGTCACTGGAGAAGGATATCATGCTTGGTAAGGTGGAGGGTCAGAGAAAAAGAGGAAGACCTCCAACGAGATGGATTGGCCAAGTGGTAGCATCGATGGACTCAAGCATGGCAACAGTAGTGAGGTTGGCCCAGGATCGGGCCTTGTTCGTTCTGCTGTGCATAAGGTCACTATGAGTCGGTACTGACTTGATGGCGCCCAACAAAAACAACATGTCTCCAGAAAAATGGCCTTTATGTGTAGTAATAATTATGTAAACTGAATGTTGACTTAACTAAAGTTATGATATAATAAAATTGGATGGATGAGAATATAGAAAGTATATGAGAGTAAAGGCAGTGAAAGAGCCTAGATCCTTGTCATCCATACAAAGTCTATTAGTTGTTGTAGTGTGTGTGCCGCCAAGTTAGTTCTGACTCATAGCAAACCTGTATAGGGTTTTCGAGGAGCAGCTGGTGGGTTTAAACTGCCAATCTCCAGTTAGTAGTCCAGTGCTTATCCTACACACCAGAACTGTATGTAGGGTTGGAAGAAAAATCTCTATGATAATTAACAGGCTACTTGACATTTTTATTAGCTATTATCTTGGGGGAGAAAAATCACAAGTCTTAATTTTCTTTTCCCTAGGCTCTTACATTCCTGGCAAAATGTCATAAGAGAAAGGAATTATTTGCTCCTTGGCAAGGATTTCAGGGACTCACTGATGCACACAGAGTTGAACTGAAGCAACAAGTGGATGACTATGTGAGAAGACATCCAGTATGTAGGCCTCTGTGCTACAATCTCAGTGTTATATTATTCTGGTGGATAGTCGTCAACAAAGCAGTGTCTCATATGTGTGTATGAATGTTAGTTGTTGGTATTAGTATTGCATAGAGTGGAGTACCATAGAACTGGTGGAATTGGGTCATAAAGGGAAATAGCTAGTAGTATAGGAGACTTTGCTTTAAATCAGTTCTTTGTTTCTTTAACTTTTTAAATTGTGAATTGAGTGAAAGTTTACAGAGCAGATCATCAGTTTTACATTCAACAAATCATATATTTCGTTTCATCTCAATGATTGCATTCCTCCCGTTTCTATTCTTTCTTCTTTCCCAACCTTTCTGAACATTGCCCTTGAGCAAATATTTCCCATTTTTTTTCTAATGGTTGACCATTCTATGGTGTGTATACCTCACTAGTGTTGCTGTCTTCCTTAGAGAGCTACCTATTGCTTGGTTGAAAATTGGGCAACGGCAATGAGTTTAGTCCCAGAACTCAAGGGTGACCAAGGGCCATCGTCTCAGGGTTCCACCAGTTTCTATCTGACCATTAAGTCTGGTCTTTATGATTTTGAGTTTTATTCCACATTGTTTCCCACTGTATCCAAGACCTTTTAATGTGATTCTTTTCTGAGCAGTTGGTAATGGTAGCTAGATACAATATAGTTCTTCTGGTCTCAGGGACGTTGAGAATGTCAAATCAGTTATTTCTTTTACTACATCAGCAAGACATGATCATTAGTTCTATTGTAATAGTACAGTAAAACTTTGGCTATTCTGAACCTTCTAG